AAGTTTATATTATCTGCTAGCCAAACTATAATAATTGCAATTGTACTTTTAGCTTTTAGTAATTATTTGTTACGTTGCATTATATTTCAGTTTACGGTTCGATTATCGTCAATAAAATCACCATCAAGGACTAGCTCCTAGTTTCGTGATCGTAGTTGATTCATGATCGACCAGTAAAATATACCCGCTCACACGGAGTTTCGCCGCCACAAATAGTTTTAGCCGCGTGACAATTGGCTTCTCCTACAGTCGCAGCGTATCATCCGTTACAATATCAACGAGGATTCAAGCATGAATTAAGAGCTGACAAGAGAGAGCTGTAAGCCCAGAAATCTAACTCGATCAACAGCAGAGTTGCGTTAATGTTTCTTTCAAGGTCACCGGTAATCATGTCATGTATGACCGCGGTGCCTGATTTCTAAGGATAATCATGTCAAGTTCGCGCACTTTGTGTTGCTTGCCGTCAGTGAAGAGGCAAAAAAAATGACCATTTTTTTTTTCATTCAATGTATAATAAAACAATTATTAGATTCAGTTTTTGTGATATCCAGAATAATCAAGGTCTCGGTAATTGTTATCAGACGAAGCCTTCGGCTTCGGGTCATAACCCCTACCTCGACCCTGTTTATTTTGGATATCACAAAATCCTCATCCAATAATTGTTTATTATCATTCGTTGTAAATTTTTCTTCTTTCTCATTGGCCGAGAGCCCACCAAGTGACCTCCAAACAACTGCCTACAAATAGTGGTCTGCTCATGCGCATGACCCTGAAAAACCCCATCGAGACACGTTAATAAATCTTGTGAGCAGCCGAATTTGTCTGCCTGTGTCTTGAGTTTCTTTTTCTGTTTTTGACTTTTCTTCACTCTCCCTTTTTTGTCCACGGCTAATAAACCTGAGTTAAACTTTGCCGAAACATTGGCTGAATGACTTCCTCTTGACGTTCTTAATATGGTAATTTTAAGACAGTTAAAAGTATTTAAATTACTTCGCATAATTTGTTAGAGTTTTATTTTAAAGTTTATTGTTTTGCCACGATACAAAGCAGGAAGTGCTGAAAAATTAAACGTAAATTGCGAGGAAGCTCAAGGAAATCACTTGGCTTGTAAGTAATAGGATCCCTCAATTAATTATTATAAAAGGAAGTATTATCAGAAGTATATATACAAGTCAAATCAATGACAGAAATACTAAACAGTACACATTATAATATATAATATTTATGTTACCTCTTTTCTTAAGCATGGCGGCGTTACGATGAGGCCGAAACGGCAACTTTTTACTCTTATTTATACTTGTTTTTACTTCAGTACATCACTTGTCATTCATTTTTAAAATCTAGAGATCCTCCCTGTGGCAAAGTAGTGGAAAGTATATACTGAGTACCAGAAACGCTTCCTAAACGTGCTTCAGGGGAATATTGAAAAAATGTTATGTTCAGTCAGGATGCCAGCACGCAATGTTTATACTTTTCGGTCTGGTGGAACTGTCTTTTGTGGTTATTCTGAGAAACTGACTATTCTGAGAAACTCTCATATGTCTTGTCTACAGCATCACTTGACGCTGTAGACAGCTCAACTACTAACTGCACACCCTAAAACCACCAATCGACCAACTACAGTCTACCAACTAATCTACACCAGATGTACCCTTCTAGCAGAGTCGCTTCGATGTTCCCGACTTATCTAGGAAGATCGAAGGAGACTCTAGGAAGATCGAAGGAAACTCTGTAAGCAGGGTACACCAGATGTTGACAACTTAAATAACCTGAATGTGAGTACGTTCGAGCTTGCTGACCATGAGAATTACAAACGCTTTTCCCAATAAACAAAGTGTAATAAACAAACCTACAAGCTTAATAATTTCAAGCACAAGAGAAGCAATGTAAGCGTGACAGCTAAACCCACGAAGCTCTAGCTTAAAGCAAAACAGGAACTCTAATGTAGCTAACAATCAAGGTCAGTGATAGTCCCAAAACGTGCCCATGACAACTTCAAGGAGTGACACTCAAATTTAATAAATGACATTCAGGCTGAAAAAACTACTTAAAAAGGTAAAAGATAAATAATTGGGGAAACCTGTTGAGACAAACACGGATTAACTTCGTTCTACAAAATGATCATAACAAAACTCTAGGCACGAGTGACATGTCAAGCGCAAACATGGAATAAACTAAAAATAACTTACAAAATACTTCACGACAATATACTGAGTCAGCTGAATACCAGAAACGCTTCCTAAACGTGCTTCAGGGGAATATTGAATAAAAATTATGTTTAGTCAGGATGCGAGCATGCAATGTTTATACTTTTCGATCTGGTACGTGGAACTATTTCTTCACTTGTGGCTATTCTAAGAAACTGACTATCTGGAGACTACAAGGAAATAGCCTGCTCATGTCGAAAATGCATTATCCGTCTCCTTACCGGTTTTTTCTTTACAAGTCGCGCTTCAATACAAGTTGATTCAGGCGAGGGCAGGTTAGACTACGAGTAGTCCCCCATTTTTCCTCAGGGATAGTAGAGCCAGCGAAACGCGAGCGCGCGTGAAAATCACCCCACGCGAGAAAAGGCGACACTCCCCGCCGCGTGTCGCCTTTTCTCGCGTGGGATGATTTTCACGCGCGCTCGCGTTTTGCTCGCTCTACTATCCCTTGAGGAAAAATGGGGGACCACTCGTAGTCTAAGGCCAGGTGAATAGTTTCGCGTTACGACTTGGCTTACGGAACGTGGAATATTAACGCCTTATGTTTTTCTCGTTCACGCCGTTATATGACTATACTTTAAATGATCGAATTTTGGGGGGCAGTTTTACTGCTTAAGTTTGTATCGAAACGACCGGTTTCCATTCTTCACATTCCGGTATAATGCTCACTCCAGAAGTCCCTGATTCTGCTATAAATTCTGTCTGTTTATGGGGGAATTTACATTCTTGTAGACTATAACATTTCTTATGGCATAAGGAACAACTTCTAGGACTTTCGATCAGTTTTATGGCTAGTTTTTAAGACCTTTAGTTTTGCCAGTTGTTACGGAAGGTTTTCCCACGTTCGAACGACTTTAAGGGCTAAACGGGAACTTGGGGTTTGGACTCTGGAAACTGCCTTCTGAACTGGGGATCTAAACCCAAGGGGCAACTCGCTCGTGGGTAAGAGCCGTCACAACTCTCAGGACCGGGATCAATCCACTACCTGGAATGCAGCAGAGAATAAGGCAAACTTGACTTGGTTCCAACTAGCTATAGCGTTTATTCTTGTACGAGCGATCGAGGAAGTAATCAAGTAAAAACTATGTAATCAAGGATGTGGATGCCATCGACGTAATCACAAAAAACACTACAAACTATCTTACTTATATATCATTATTACAGGTATTCAGGTATTTACAGGTATTCAGTATTCAGTATTTACAGGTATTCAGTACAATAGATATACAAACAAACTCGTTTGAAGTTAAGCTAAAGTTATTGTTGCGGATTCTATTTTAGGAGTAAAAAGTACTAGGACAATAAAATAGCAAAGTTTGCCAAGTCCGCAAGGCGGCTTTTAAGCACGTAGTTTCGCTTTGAATAGAATTGCAAGCTAAACTAGCGACTTTCTGGGAACGTAGCAGGACTGTCTAATTGCCTAGTTTTCACCTACAATAAAAGCAGACCGAATTTGCAGGTCAGCAAACTTTTGAAATTCTAAATTTTAGACGAAGCGAGTATTTACGGAAGTAAATTAAGAACTATTATGTTTGCAGAAAAAACTACGTGATCGCTCAAAAATACTTCTGATCAATTAAAAACGAGCTATATTCGCTTAACATTGTGTTACAGTGAAATGCTACCCTGTTGTAGAATAAAGCTAATTAAGAAAAAATATTGAAGCTAGAGCAACTGTTATTGAGAAAATCAATATTTTTTGAAATCATTAGTAATCATTACACAGAGTCTGGATTAAACTTTATAAATCATGCTTCGCTGAGTTTGACCCATTTTGTTCATCAGTTACGTCAAATTTGCGTGCTGCATTCCAAGTCTTTCGGAGATTTTCCGCTGGCAACTATGATTCCTTTTTCTTCTCCTTCCATGTCCTTTACTCCTTGATTTTCGAAAATTTCGCCGTAAGTTTCAATCTCCTGCCGCTCAGCTTTTGACTGACATTCAACTTCCACTAACTTGCTCGAATTCGTTGTTACGAGGAAGACCTCTGGTGTATTTTCAAACTCAAAGAATTTGCGAAAGAAAAATACGGTCAAACTTCCTCTGTAGCCAACATCCAAAGCTAGCAAAAGGCTGTCTAATTCACGGAACTGTCTTTCACGAGTTATCGCTCTTGCGACCAAAAATGAATCGTACAAAAAGAAAGCAAGCATTCGCAAACCGTACGAAAACAAAGTCNTTACAGGTATTCAGTATTCAGTATTTACAGGTATTCAGTACAATAGATATACAAACAAACTCGTTTGAAGTTAAGCTAAAGTTATTGTTGCGGATTCTATTTTAGGAGTAAAAAGTACTAGGACAATAAAATAGCAAAGTTTGCCAAGTCCGCAAGGCGGCTTTTAAGCACGTAGTTTCGCTTTGAATAGAATTGCAAGCTAAACTAGCGACTTTCTGGGAACGTAGCAGGACTGTCTAATTGCCTAGTTTTCACCTACAATAAAAGCAGACCGAATTTGCAGGTCAGCAAACTTTTGAAATTCTAAATTTTAGACGAAGCGAGTATTTACGGAAGTAAATTAAGAACTATTATGTTTGCAGAAAAAACTACGTGATCGCTCAAAAATACTTCTGATCAATTAAAAACGAGCTATATTCGCTTAACATTGTGTTACAGTGAAATGCTACCCTGTTGTAGAATAAAGCTAATTAAGAAAAAATATTGAAGCTAGAGCAACTGTTATTGAGAAAATCAATATTTTTTGAAATCATTAGTAATCATTACACAGAGTCTGGATTAAACTTTATAAATCATGCTTCGCTGAGTTTGACCCATTTTGTTCATCAGTTACGTCAAATTTGCGTGCTGCATTCCAAGTCTTTCGGAGATTTTCCGCTGGCAACTATGATTCCTTTTTCTTCTCCTTCCATGTCCTTTACTCCTTGATTTTCGAAAATTTCGCCGTAAGTTTCAATCTCCTGCCGCTCAGCTTTTGACTGACATTCAACTTCCACTAACTTGCTCGAATTCGTTGTTACGAGGAAGACCTCTGGTGTATTTTCAAACTCAAAGAATTTGCGAAAGAAAAATACGGTCAAACTTCCTCTGTAGCCAACATCCAAAGCTAGCAAAAGGCTGTCTAATTCACGGAACTGTCTTTCACGAGTTATCGCTCTTGCGACCAAAAATGAATCGTACAAAAAGAAAGCAAGCATTCGCAAACCGTACGAAAACAAAGTCATTCGATACAAGATCATCAGCTTTTCACTTCTTCCTCCCCGTGGAAAATGTTCAGTAAACCAATCCCTTACGGTAGAAAGTTGCACAAAGCTAAGAGCACAAGCTAACATTGTAGTTGAAGCGAACTCTAAGGGGACCAAAAAGCCGAGCACAACAAGAACAGGATTGTTTTCGTTAATACCCGGAATAACAGCTATAAGAACGTTCGTTATGATACGCGCAACCCACAAAGCGGTCCACATCCAAAAATAAGCCTGTTGTACAAGAGCCCTGAGAAAGTTTTTGAAGTTGAATGTTTTCCATCTATAGATGAGGAAGATCAGAAAGCAGGAAACAATGGTCTCCAAGAAGGTGCTTGTGGTATTAAGGCAGTTAATAGCTCTCTGCGAAAGTCCAAGCCTGCCTTCGCATCTTTCGATACGGCTCCCTGCTTTGATAATGCAAATGACGCTAGGAACGAAGAACGTGGCAGTGAAACATGTCCTCAAGAGCAAGAGAACAGCTGTACAGATAACTGCAGCAGCTAAGCGGCGGCTCTTCTCCATTGATTTGCTTTACTGCTGTTCGTGTCCGAACGAGTCGCGATCAGTGGAGCATTATTTGTCTATTTTTAATCTTTTCAGAAAAGTGAAAAATGAGAATCTGTGGTCAAATTTCATTTTTTTCTGGACTCAAAATGGAGAGATACTAACCCGGAAATAAAGAAAAACAACCAATCACGATACAATAGATTCCTGCGCAATTGCTGTCATCAGCTTTGATCTCGTTTGAGTGTTTCTGATGCAATGGAGAAAGATTATATTATTTATTCTCAGGACGGAAGGAGAACGAAGAGTGGAAAGACAAGTGAAAAAAAAATGCAGGTGATATGACAGCGGAGAGATTTGCACAAATGTTTAGGGTAAGTCATGATATCGGCTGATTTGATCAGGATCTCGACATAATATGATAGTTTGGTTTAGCTGGATTTTTTCGATTTGTGAAATTTACTGAGAACATAGGACTGCCGGTCATTTAGTGTTTTGCAAACCTTCACCGGCAGTCGACCTGAAAATAGTTCTAAGTGTCACAAAACATGTGAGCTCTTGTCACGAGCTCAGATTAGTCGTGTTTGGCAGGTCAACACTTAATTCAAATCGAACTTATCACAAAATGCGTTAGAAACTAGCCAATCAAAAACGCCGACATATGCCCTTGTTACTCTGCGGGATTCGAACACGACATTGTGCACGAATTAACGCACTAATTCGCAGACGCACTAGGCCTGCAGAAGGTTTAGAGCGTCTGCGACGCAGGCAAGTAACATCTGTGAATGTTACAATATTCTGACTAAGGTAAGATGGACATTTCAGTACCTAAACTGAGCTTCAGTAAACAAGAGGCCACTAGTTCTTACCCGTTACCCGTAGAGTAAATATTTGTGTTAACTTAGTGCAGTAACTATCGTCACATTAAATTCGCTTTTTCTTAGAACTCGAGCAACGAGGAATGGTGACGTCAACAATCACATTGCTGAACATCATTTACAGACGAGACATCAAATCGACTGGGACTTTGCCACATGTATTACGTATTCTACAAACTACTATCAACGACTTACTTTAGAAAGCTGGTTTGCTAACTTAGAACAAACGCAACTGAATCGTAGCCAACAGTTACCGGCACCGTACAAACGACCTATTGACGAGATCAAGCACGAACGACTGGAGAACTGACAATTTGACTAATAACAATAGATGACTGCCTAACTGCGACAACAGACGGATGGAAACGCACCAATTACATTACTAATCTTCATCATAGCCGATAACATCACGGCTTAACTGACAGTCCGACCAATAAAAAATAACATCGCGACGTAATTGACCAATCAGGTCAATAACCAGAGTATAATACCATCAACTGACGTAATACAACTCACTTTGACTCCGAAGATGACTTCCGCAAAGGTTGTTGAAATGTCAGTCACTGTCAGCAACAACAGTCCTATTCAGGACTACGTTCACCCGGACGATCAAACTCAGCTCACTTTTGTAATTTCTTTGTAAAAGTAAGTAGCAGTAAACATGAGTGAAAGAAAGATAAAGGGAAAACTTGGTCACGTAGTACATAGCCCGCGTAGCAGGCGTCGAAAGTGGTAGGGCATAGGGAAAAAGGGAGGGGAATTGTGGAGAGAGTGTAAGGCTCCCTTCCCTTTTCCCTTTCGCACTTTTCTCCCTCTCCCCCTCCCCCACCCCCTTTTGTGCCTACCTTGCAGGCTAGTGCGACTACAGATTCACGTTTGCCGTTTGCAGTGGGTGACTCTAATTCTCTCTGATTCCTTGTAAAAAGTTTAGCAGAAGCTGTTTAGCAGTAAAAAAGAAAACCAAGAAGAAAAGTAAATTTATTGATAATAAAATCAGTAACCTGCAACAAGAGCATGGCTCTTGCCTGCAACAAATCTTTGAGCAACTGAACACTTCGAGGCTAGGTTAAGCTTTTTTTATGTTAATGTAAAGAACAACTGATTTCCATTTTTATTGGCCGCCATCTTATCTTAGGTACTGGATGAGTGCCCCCCCTCCCACTTTCTTTGAAATAAGTACGCCACCGGTGATAAAGTCAGGCCTTTAAAAGGGGGGCCTTGCATCCACTACAGTGCCGTTATTTAATTGTCTATTCAAGTAAGCAGCTCGGTTACCTTAACAGTGTACAAGAATGGTGTGGGGAAGAGAAATGTGAAAGAACCTAAAAGGCTTCGCAAAGTTTTAGCTGAGAGTTCGAGTAGCAAAAAAACGGCAATTAACAACAACAACAACAACAACAACGAGATCTGGAATGAACAGGCAGACGAAAGTACTATGCACATATGAATTATTTGTATATATCTAAATCTTTAACGACTACATACATTAATCAGCAAAGACCTATCGGCAATGCACGAAAGGCCATGAGTAGATCAAATCTTTTGATGTCAATGAAAAGTGACGAACAGCTGGGATAAGATTTACGTGTAGGTAAAACTCATACGCATAAACAAATTGCCGGACAAGTTCCGTTACTTGTATTTTTCCTGATCGAACCGTTCCGTCTCTTTTTGTCGACGTAATAAAAATGCTTGAACTTAGTCTATGACCAATAGAGGATTTCTTAGGGGCCGACCAAAGGAGGATGTAACAACTTTCCCATCGTTGCATAATTACCCACATTTTTGGGATTTTTCATAATAATCTATCTATCCGCTAGGACACAAAGGTCAGTTGACTTTTTTGTTGCCGACCTCATCAGTATATAATCTTCCGGCTAATCTTCCGAAAAAGACACATTTAAGGCAATAAAAAGCAGCTTTTGTAAACAAAAACAGACTGTCTTCGGTACGTACTTTTCTTTGTTGTTGTATGGTTCATGACGCCATAGTCAAGCGTGGTTAAATAATTAGTTTCGCATATAATTCATTGTTGAGTTCTGCTCATCGTTTGTCGTCAGAAAAAAGAACAACAGTCATTTTACATGCAGATAATTAAGATCCTAGCAGAGCCTCTTTCCATGTATGCTTTTTGGAGCGTTGAATTTCGGGAAAATTTCGCACCCAAACCTGCGCTTCGGAGACCCTAAACGCATGTAAACTTAGAGTGGAAATAGGCCTTAAAAATTCTCTTATTGCAACTTCAACTTTTTGATGAGTGGCAACCCTGGTCACTATTCCTGGAGCTTTTGAGATGCCTGATGTCCAAACGGCATATTCTATCATATCGCTGCTAGCAGAAATCTGGTGCCTAAGGCCCTAAGGCGACGCACTATAATCTACGATTACTGCGAGCCTTAAAAAGGTTAATAACCAACCAAAAAAAGTCAGTCACTGCTTCAACTGAGCTGTTTGTACCTCTCCGTTCTCCTACCGCTTTTTCACTAGATGCATGGCTTACTGCATGGGTATGTACAAAACAGCCCAGTTGAAGGAGTTGCCTTATGACTGGCACAGAACCAGAAACAGTATTCATAGCCGAATATAGGAGTTTTAATTTTTACCTGTAAGAAAAAAGAACAAAATAAAAAGCGAAAAACTAGCAGGTCACAGTTCACAGTTCAGACGAGGTTTGTGTTGAGTGTACAGACTTCAATAGAGAGTTTTAGATCCGAGTTTACCGCGAACCTCTAACCGCTGTAGGTCATGTGACAAGTTTTTCGCGTCACGTTTGATATTTACGACGTGCGTTTTCAACGTGGGGAGGTAGGTTTTCACGTATGTGATTTACCTGAAAGCTTTTAGCGTATAATTCTTGTTTTATCCCACGTAATGATACCAAAATCTTGTGGAGCAAGCCTTTATCCATTAACAGAGGCACAAATTCTGGCGAAATGCTAAATTTGATAAATCCTATTGGATCTTGAAAACAAGTGCCATTCATGGCTGCTGATTCAAAATGGCGGCCGTAGTCTATTCCACTGCCAATCTAAATCGAACTATGTTTGAACGTCGAACCGCAAACGGGTAACCGCAAACCGCGGTTAGAGAGAGATTCGCGGTAAACTCGGATCTAAAACTCTCTAATATCTCGATAAATGTGCTATCTAAAACCGGGATTTCAAATTCTTTGCGCTGTAGAACAGTTTAGTTCATTATTTTCAAGGTAATTTTCGCTAATGCAATCGAATTGAGGTCAAACTATTTTTCGTAAATTACGGTAATTCATGACATTTCTAAACAAATTAAACAGCGTGCGCATATAGGTAAAATCTTTGCTCGTTGATAGCGATAGCTATAACTAGCATTATTTTCAAAATTGCTGAAACTTTGATCCTGGATGCAAACGCGGCAAACACAAAGCAACTTTCCGAGCCCGAAAAGTTAACGGGACTTTTGAGAAACAGGCCCCAGGACATAGGCCATAGGCCATTTTCGAGTTCCCCCGGGCCTTTGTATCAAAGCGAGGTTAGGTGCTCAGCCTTTCGTCACTTGCTCATCTCCCATAATGCACCTTATTTCCCCCACCCCCCCGCAAAATTTTGCATAAGCGTTGTTTTCAATTTCTCTTGGGATGGCTGTAATACCCAGGAGAAATGAAAAACAAAGGTTATGCAAATTTTGGGGGCCAAATAAGGTGCATCATGGGAAAAGTGCAAGTGGCGAATGGAGATGATTTTTCATTCTCATGCAAATAAATCTCACTTTCACAAGAAAGGTTGTGCACTTGGCCTTATTTTGAAAGTGAGGGTTTTTGGAACTCGGAAGTGGCCTATTAATTTAAACATCAACATGCGCTCTACTGATCGCCATTCATTCGGACACCAACAGCACTAAAGCAAATCAATGGAGAAGAACCGCCGCTTAGCTGCTGCAGTTATCAGTACAGTTGTTCTCTTGCTTTTGAGGACATTTTTCACTGTCACGTTCTTCGTTACCAGCGTCATTTGCATTATTAGAGCAGGAAGCAGTATCGAAAGATGCGAAGGCTGGCTGGGACTTTCGCAGAGAGCTATTGACAGCCTTAATACTACAAGCACTTTCGTGGAGACTATTGTTTCTTGCTTTCTGATCTTCCTCATCTATAGATGGAAAGATTTCAAGTTCAAAAACTTTCTCAGGGCTCTTGCAAAACAGGCTCATTTTTGGATGTGGACGGCTTTGTGGGGTGCACGTATCATAACGAACGTTCTTATAGCTGTTATTCCGGGTATTAACGAAAACAATCCTGTTCTTGTTGTGCTCGGCTTTTCGGTGCTCTTAGAGTTCGCTTCGACTACAGTGTTAGCTTGTGCTCTTAGCTTTGTGCAACTTTCTACGGTAAGGGATTGGTTTTTTGAACATTTTCCGCGGGGAGGAAGAAGTGAAAAGCTGATGTACTTGTATCGAATAACTTTATTCTCGTACGGTTTGCGAATGCTTGCATTATTTTTGTACGATTCATTCTTGGTCGCAAGAGAGATCAATCGTCAAAGCGAGTTCCGTGAAATAGACAGCGTTTTGTTAGCCTTGGATGTTGGCTACAGAGGAAGTTTGACCATATTCTTCTTTCGCAAATTCTTCGAGTTCGAAAATATACCTGAGGTCTTCGAAACAACGAATTCGAGCAAGAGCAAGTCAGTGGAACCCAACAAATGTCAGTCGAAAACTCAGGGACAGCAGATTGAAACTTGCGGTGATAATTTCAAAAATCAGGGGTCGAAGGACATGAAAATAGAAGAGAGAGGAACCGTAGTTGCTCGCGGAAAATCTACGAAAGACTTGGAATGCAGCACGCAAATTTGACATAACTGATGAGTAAAATGGGTCAAACTCAGCAGACCATGATTTATATACTTATATAAGTATACTTACACTTATATTTAATCCAGACACTGGCAAAACTTAAGGCCTTAAAAACTAGCCATAAAACCGATCGATCGATAGGCTACAATCCATAAGAATGTAAATCCTCCAGAAAAAGAATTTTTAGCAGAATAAGGACTTCTGGGGTGAGCATGATGCCGGAAAATGACGAAGGGAAACCGTAAACCGGTCGTTTCGATACAAACTTAAGCAGTAAAAACTGCACCCAAAAATTTGATCATTGTTAAAGTATAGTCATAAGAGCGTGAACGAGAAAAACATATGGTGTGAATGTTCCTCCAACGTAACGCGAAACTTTTTACCTGGCCTTCTCCTGAATCAACTTGTATCGAAGCGCGACTTATAGCAAAACGACCGGTAAGGAGACGAATAAGGCATTTTCGAGATGAGCAGGCTAACGGAAAATCAGAAACACTAATGGCATGTTTAAAAGTCATGTATAAGAAACTGAAAAACAAAAAAACTGACAAAATGGAAAATTATTTCCTTGTAGTTTCCAGACAGTCAGTTTCTTAGAATAGCCGAAAAGACGGCAAAGTATAAACATTACGTGCTGGCATCATGACACAGGGGCATTCAACGACAATTTTCGGAAAAATATCTGTTCGGAAGACGATTTGAGATCTAGAATTTTCGGAACATTTGTTGTAAAATTTCTTGCTTGCCTGCCTCTCCTAGGATTTTCGAACATCTAAAAAATGGTAAAATTGCCCATTTTCAACGGAGTTTTACCCTAAAAAGGTCACCCAAAATTTTCGGGAGCATTTTTTCTGGCTGAAATTTTCGAACAGGTAAGTTTTGATCCCTATAATTTTCGGATCACTAGACTTTCAGCTAGGAAATCCGAACAGATGAAAAATTTATAGGGGATAAAAATATGCCCATAGCCACTGTTTAAATATTAAAATACGTTTAACAATGCTATGTTTAAGTGGTTTTGAACTATATTCTCGTTGGGTGCCCCTGATGACAGAGATATAACATTTTTCAAGAGCCATTATGGCTCTTGCATTTTTTCAATATTCCCCTGAAGCACGTTTAGGAAGCGTTTCTGGTACTCAGTATATACTTTCTACTACTTACCATAGGGAGGATCCCTAGATTTTAAAAACGAATGACAAGTGATTTACTGAAGCAAAAACAAGTAAAAATAAGTGTAAAACATTGACGTTTCGGCGTCATCGTAACGCCGCCATGTTTGAAGCTCTTTGAGAAAAGAGGTAACATAAATATTGTATATTATAATGTTTACTGTTTAGTAGCTCTGTCATTAATTTGACTTGTATACTTCTGACAATACTTCCATTTATAATAATAAATTGAGGGAGCCTATTACTTACAAGCCAAGTGATTTCCTTGAGCTTCACTCTCACAATTAACGTTTTAATATTTAAGCACTTCCTGCTTTTTATTAAGGCAAAATGATAAACTTTAAAATGAAACTTGAACAAATTATGCGAAGTCATTTAAATAGCTTTAAGTATCTAAAAATTAGCACATTAAGAAAGGCAAAAGGAAGCCAAATGTTTCGGCAAAGTTAAATTCAGGTTTAGTAGCCTTGGACAAAAAAGGGAGAGTGAAGAAAAAGAGTGAGTTAAAAACAGAAAAAGAAAATGAAGACCCAGACAGATGAATTCAACTACCCGATAGGGTTTTTCAGGGTCAATACCTACGAAATTTGAGTATAAACTACGCCGCCATTAACAAACATTTGGAAAAATTACCACTATAGCTGTATTAGATAAAGATGAAAATTTTTTATGATCGGGGTTACAATGACATCGGAGTTGTTATAGCAACAAAATGACGCCATTACCTATTTTACTTGCAGCCGTATTTTCTGCACTCAAACTGACTTTGCAGCAAAACTAATTTACTTCTGCTTAGGCTTAATATTGTTTCGACTGGAACCAAAAACTATATTTTTACACTTATATTTTTACTGCAGAAACGCAGAATTACCTACAAAGGGCAAGTGGATAGCGTATTTATTCGATCAAACGCCGCCCTCAAATAAACGTCGCATCTAATCAGAAGAATGCAGCGTTTACTCGAGGATAATAAGCATCTGATAAGGAAAACCTCGGTACAACTTGGTAATTTACACCATCCTTTGATTTACATTTTTTTCTCAGCAAAATAAGAGAGACATTGGAACCTTTCAATTTTATACTATTTACAAACGATTTACAATAACTGTTGTCAGTGATTTCGAAATAAACGCCGTCCTAGAATAAACACCGCATTGGAATCGCTAAAATTTCATAGATGCTGCGGCGTTTAGGAATAAACACGGTAGTCTCAACCAAGCTGACCAGTTGCTAGCAGTAATTATAATGGGATGCACAAAGAAAATTACTAAGCTTCCAAGGTATTCGATGTATCTCACCCAAAAGTTAATTAAATCCACAAAAGAGGGGTTAATTCGGTCCCTACCATACTACTTTTAACTATCACTTTAAACCACCAGTCACCATTTTCACATAGACCATAATGCATCTTGTTTACCCCCCCCCCATCCCCTCCGCATTTTGCATCACAATTCTCGGCTTGCACTGTCACACAATGAAAAATAAAAATGCAAACCATTCAATACAGAAGGACTAGAATCTGGGAAATGAAAAAAGATAAATATACAAAAACCCTTGCCAAGAATCAGGTCTGTGAAATATTTCAAATGCGAGATATTGGGAAAAACGGTTTACCTACATTTATAAAGCTTTGTATGGAAACGCCATGGGCAATATGGCCGCCGGATACCAACACAAACATCTGTTTTCGATTTTTCCTACTAATACGTGAATTCTTCGCTTGAGGAACTCATAAAGATTACAGTTATAATTATTCTGAGACAACTGATGTTTAGATTGCAAAATCTCCCAAAATCGCAAATGTTTTTAACCCACATAAGAGCTTTCCCTGCCGCCAGCTAAATGCCGCGTCACGCAAAAGCCTGGAAATTCAAGCGTCCTCTCTCGCAAAACGAAGAACCCTTTCGGACCAAAAATTTGTTTATGTAAAGGTGTTTAGGTACTGTAATACCTCGTGAAAGTAGAAACTCAGAAGAATCGATAGTTTCTTGGTTTGATTTTTGGTGACGTCACGTGCAACCCAAGAATTGTTTCCAGTTTCTCCTAGGTATTACAGTCGTCCCAAGAGAATAGAGGACAATGGCTATGCAAAAATTTTGGGGTTAACAAGGTGCATTATGGTCTATGTGAAAATGGTGAATAAGCAGAGCTCGCCATTATCGACTCTTGGCATTTCTAAAAGTAAAGAATATCCTTCATGTTCTTTGAAAGGAGGCAGCAGACAAATATAATGAACAACTGGAACGTGGATCGCAATAAAATTTGAGGAATTGAAAAAAAAAATATATCGATGAATTAAACACAAACTCGGTGATCGAATGATGAAACAACTATTAAACTCGGTTATCCAAAATATCGTGATCAGTATCTCGCAGATCAGTTATTTGCCTCAGCCTTCGACACTCCTTCGGCCTTGGCAAATAATTGATCAGCTTGCCACTGACAAATCACGATATTTTGCTAAACCTCGTCCAATATTTGTTAATTATCGTTCGATGCAAATTTTTCTTCCTTTTCATTGGCTGAAAGCCCACCACATGACCTGCAAATAACTGCCTACAAATAATGGTCTGCTCATGCGCAATGTCGTCCAACTGTGTTTGGCTGCAAATAATATTCTGCTTATGCGTAAACGAAACCACGCGTGATACGTTCTTGCGTGAAAAAAGGCCGATCGCTTTGCTTCCCGAAGATATTCATTAAAAAACAAATTTATTGATCGAATGATAAAACAATTATTGGGAACTCGGTTATCACAAAATATCGTGAATTGCCAGTGTCTCGCACATCAATTATTGCCAAAGCCGAGGGCTGAGGCAAATAACTGATAGCCTTGCCACTGACAAATCACGATATTTTGCTCAACGTCGTCCAATAATTGTTAATTAATTGCTACTTCTTGAACTGTTAAAGTTAGCATATTGAGAATTGTTGCTACTTACTTTACAGGACTGACCACACAGTCACATTATAGACAAATATCTTTCTGATTTTGTTCCTTTCGGGGAATCTAAAAACGAATTTTTTGATCCTAGATTTGCCGGATTTCGTGGTCGAAAGTAGCGTGAAATCCGAACATGGATTTGTAACCTTGGTAACCTTCCGCAAACGCGTGGGCGATGGAACATAAACAGATCAAGAAAGAAGCGCGTTAAAGTTGAAAATTATCTAAAGCCGTTGTCAGCTCAGTTTCGTAGCTCGTATTTTTTATGTAACACGATCGAGTGCTTATTGCGTCTACAAGCGAGTTTGTAGAAATATAGCAGTTCATTTACTTGTTTGTGTTTTTAAGCAATTTTTAGCAATAAATGGATATTTCATTTTGATGCGAGATCCCTCTCTTTGAATGAGTGGGGACTTCCACCTACTTAGATCTGAATCTGCCACAGTTGAAGTTAGGCCTACAAAAGGGGGGAGCCTTGGATCCACTACAGTGCGTTTTATCAATTGTCTATCCAAGGAAGGAAGGAACCTGAAAAGCTTCACAGAGTTCGAGTAGTCGGACAGCTTAAGTCAACAACAACAACACTGAACGAGATCAAAAGAACAGGCAGACACAGAATTTACTGTGCACAAATGATTTATTTGTATATTGATCTTAATAGATTAGACTATATACATTAACCAGCAAAGACCTATTAATGTAACGAAAGGGCATGAATAGAATAAATCTTTTGATGTCAATGAAAAGTGACGAACGGCTGGGATAAGATTTACGTGTAAATGGTTCTTCACCCTTTCCAATCTTACCCGTTTCGTTCCAAAAGAGGTCCATAGGCATCTATGATCCTCTTTTGGAACGGAATTGATAAAATCCGTTCTGTACCT